AAGACCCGCGCTATTAAATCCGGTCGATCAGAGGCTACTTGACCGGGTGCGAGGTTGTCGACGATTTCTGGCCAGGTCGGGTTGCAAGTGAAGGTAAGGAACAGATCGGGTTTTCCGTATTTCGACACGATACTCATGGCATCTTGGTACTGCGCTACCATGTATCGGGGTCCTCCAGTAAAGGAAGCCGCTAAAATGATCCTCCGGCCCGGTGGTCCATCACTATCGGTATCACCGAGCATGAAGTCCTGCAAACCGCGAACGGTGTCAAGCCTTAGTTGACGTTGATTGAGGCGGATATAGTTCAGGCGATTCATCTCGATCTTAATCCAACTGTCAACGATGTATTGCTGCAGGAGTTTGCCCGCGTGATGCAAAGGATTGAAGACAGAGGTCCGACTTAACAGCAGGAATGAGTAGAAGTCTTTTTGGGTGATTCGAGATCTCGCGGTCGGAACGCCATCTGAATGTAGATCCATATTCGATGTTTCTCGCTGCATCCCGGGATGCCAACCACCTTCCCCAGTTGGAAACAAAAGCGGATACGCGAGAGGATCACAACGCTCATCGAGATGAGGAATACTACGAAGACTGCCGGTCTTTTCATACACTACTAAACGACACTCTCCTGGAATATTGTCTTCGTCTCCCACGTAGACGACGGCGACTTCATTGGCTGTCGCAGCATTGTAGCGACGTTGATCGTCGACCGTCCTGTGTTCGAACACCATTCTAACCGATCTCGTATGACGACCCTGGAGCTCTGCTTCGTGCGTTTCATCGCGAACGACATCGGCCATTAGCCTGAATGCTTGAGCATATGGATTTGTACTCCTCAAGAGTTCATGTAGAAGACGAAAGATTGTCTCTCGGCAGCCCGTGTTGACTTGTCGACCCGCAAGTTCGTGGGCTGCCACTTCAGTGTCCATAATTAAGACTTGAGCACACTTGGGCGCTTCAGCTTCGCGGGGATAGAGACCTCCAAACGAATGGTAGACTTGGCCATGAACGCGGAAACAATACGGACCGTAACCGCGAGGCGTCTCGATCTTAGCCGTCATCGAAGCCATCGCCAATGAGTTGTTGTAGTTTCTAATGTACTGTCGGAAATGCTTGGAATCGTTATCTTGACCAAGGTAGAGTGATCGTAGTACCGTTGGAAAATTTCGGAACCGAGTCAATCGGACTTTGTTCGACGCACAGCACATTGTATAAGCATTTTGTCCGGTCGTAGTTTTTTCGGATGGAAAGTGTTCGGCCCCGCACCCGCTACAGATATCGTCCATACTACCGAGATGATGAGAGGCGGAAGGCCTATGTTGTTCTCTCGAGCTATACCGAGCGTTCTCCGACTTCGCCGCGTCACTGTTGAAACCGAATCATTTCTACGATGATGTGCAACATTATCAGCACGATCAGCAAGGATTTCCATTGAAGCCCGCTGAGCATCAACTGCATGCCGAACTCTTGCTTCAAACACGCTGGACCGATTCCGCCGCGTAAGCTGAGTTCGCACATCGGGCTCTGGGGGCGTTTCCTGATCGCTTATACTTGAATCTCCGATCTCCAAAGCCGGTCCCGGAGTCGGTTGACGCCTTCGGCTTCGTTGACAGATTCGACGCCTCCTGCTCACTTTCGGCATGAGGAATCTTTGATGGCAGACCCAAAAGGAGAAGCTGCTACGGCTCCGGCGCTCAAAGAGACGGCAGACCCAAAAGGAGAAGCTGCTACGGCTCCGGCGCTCAAAGAGACGGAACGGATATTGGTGGGTGACCGATGAGTTTGGTGTCCGACCATTCGAAGATTTTTCATGCTCGATTCATTGTCGATGAGACACGAATCAAATCTCAAATTCACAAATTTTTTGTGGCAGGACGAAGTTTCCTGCAGCGGAAGTTTCCTCGAAATGAGTGTAGACATCATAGTGAAGCATTCACATATTTTGAAGAATAACGATTACTGGGAGAATACGTGAAATTCACGTAATTCACGTGGCGATTCCATTTGAAAAGTACATCTTTACCTCCCTGACGAAAAGTCGCATCGCTCGCGAAAGTTTGGAGTCAGTCCGGAGGAGGAAAGCGCCACAAATTGGTTCGAAGTCAGACAGACCTTGCGATTTTATTATATAGGGGGATGAGGGCTGGGAATAAATCGGGACATCATTCTGTCCCTTCGTTATCGGATCGTAACATTTTGGTGGCAGCGGCGGGATGATGCCTCCAAGTTAGCCGGGAGCCATGCTATATGCACGTCATCGCAGTTGGTCTAGTCCACTCTCTAGTTAATTCTCTTGGCAGCCTACGGTCTGGGCCTCGACCGATCGAGGAGCCCACCACTAGCACGACCGACGCCTACGCCAGTCAGATCAAGACTCTATCTATGTGCTCGTTCGCTTCGTCTCCCGCGCACCTTGATCAAACGTGCCCATACGACATCTCTGCTTCTGACAGCCGTCTGTCTTCGCAGCCCGGTCGAATGCTTCGAGTAAGTCGGCGGCTCGCTGCGTCACGAAGTCGTCCATAGTGAACGAGAGCGACCCGCAAAGTGGAGTCACCCTTTCCGCGGCGCGTTTGTCGATCATTTTTGCCGGAAGTGTGCTTCTAGGGGCTTCCGGTACGGCACGTACACCTGGCAGTATGTGTGGAAGTCTCTGCGCTCGATATATTCCATTGCCTCGTCGTAAGAGCTGCAGGCGTCCTCGACTTCTTCGAGGAGCATCCGCTTGGACTGGATTCGGGACGTTGGCCTTTGGCTTCCGATCCCGGACGACGTTGTGGCGATGCTCGCGGCCGACGAGCTAGATGAGCTGGGGGGCAGTCGGTACCTCGAAGGGAGCAGGAGCTCTAAATCACCTTCGGTCCGAAATACTCGGGTGCCTGGTGCCAGAGGTGGGTCGTATTCTGTCTCCGGAAGCGGCGGTTCTTGTTCCGAAGCACGCATTCCGCGGATCCATCCGATCTCGGCCTTCCGGATGTACAATCTGTACCGGGTCACGTGCCTGCAGATTTCCACGTGAGCCTCGGCTCCTAGCAAGCTCTTGCAGAAACTCACTGGTCTCCGCGTTTTGCTGCTCCTGATGTACCCGTGAAAGTGCCGATATGGCACTCCGGCAGTCCCCTCCTCCAGGACGTACTCGTAGCTCCTGATGCTGTGTGTTTCGGTCAGGGCTCTATGTAAGGCCGCCTGCAACAGCCTGGCGTCATCCCTGTAAGGCAGGGTGACCGCAAAATGGTAGCGGCGGTCGTCCGCTTCACATTGCGTCACAAATGGCTCTTCTGAGTCCATATTTGCTCTTTCCCGGCGACGGTCGTCAAGCTTATCGAAAAAGCTAACGATTCGACCTGTGGCAGAGAGCAGGGCATTATTAGTAGATTTCATGGAATAAGCAATGAAATGGCATCATATTGAATCAATCATCGAAATAATATGATATTGAATGAATCAATGTTGCAATATAATGTTCAATGGATCACTGACTCAGAAAATTTTACAATTGAAGAAACGAATATTATATTGAGCAATGGAGAAACTTTAAAAAAAAAATGTCTCGCTTGACATACGCGATTCACCGTTTACACTTTATTTGAGTCCCACTGGGAAGAGTCAGTACGAACGAAGATGCGACCGTCTTTCACAAAGCAAGGAATGCGAATGACGCTACACCGGATTTAATTAAGGGTCATCGTATGCGGAGGACCAATCAGAGCGCTCGGATTTTCGAATTAAAACCCTCAACCTGCTCAATGCGACCGTTATAACGGTCACGTGATGACAAACATGCCTGACAAAACCATTATAAGGGTCACGTGACATCGAACTTGCCTAGCAAAACCCTTATAAGGGCATCGTTGAATCAAACATGCCTCAAAAAACATTATAGGGGTTTCTCCATATCAAACATGCTCGGCAAAGCCATTATAAGGGTCCCGTAATTTCAAACATGCCTAGCAAAACCCTTATAAGGGCATCGTAGAAACAAGCATGCCTCGAAAAACATTATAGGGGCTTCCTCATGCCAAACATGCCTCACAGAGGCATTATAAGAGCATCTTTGTATCGAACATGCCTCACAAAACCATCATAAGGCCTTCTTAATATCAAACATGCCTTGCCAAACCATTATAAGGGTATCTTTATATTGTAGGATTGATATCCGACTGAGAACACTTCGAACTCGTTTCAATCTTCGGCTGGTTTTATTCACTGGCAAGACGTATTATTTCTTAAGCCAACGCAACACACTCTTTCTAGAACTCTGACTTTCGCATCGCGCGCTCTCACACTCTCTGTGTCTATTTCCCTCTCCAGCCGTGTCCGGCTGGCGCGCTATTCGAACCATATCTCCGTACTCTCTGGGATCGATTCCTACTCAAACTTAGGCTAGTCTACAATCTCACATCGACCTTCTCTCGACATTAAACGGTCACGTGATATCGAACTTGCCTAGCAAAACCCATATAAGGGCATCGTTGAATCAAACATGCCTCAAGAAACATTATAGGGGTTTCTTCATATCAAACTTGCTCGGCAAAGCCATTATAAGGGTCCTGTAATATCAAACATGCCTGGCAAAACCCTTAAAACCATTATGAGGGTCCCGCAATGTCAAACATGCCTGGCAAAACCCTTATAACGGCATCGTAGAATCAAGCATGCATCGCAAAACCTTTATAAGTGCATCGTTGAATCAAACATGCCTAGCAAAACCCTTATGAGGGCATCGTTGAATCAAACATGCCCAGCAAAACCCTTATAAGGGCATGTTGAATCGAATATGCCTCAAAAAAAACATTATACGGGCTTCTTTATATCAAACTTGCTCGGCAAAGCCATTATAAGAGTCCCGTAATATCAATCATGCCTGGCCCCCGCCGGTCAATTCGATCGAAGTGTAGGGTGTAAGCCCACGACTTGGCTTAGATCCCCACCGCTTAGTCATACCAAGAACCTAACAATTGGCGCAGCCGACATTTTCTACATATTCTTCAAGTGCGGAAATGGCTAAGAAGACTCAAGACAGACAGGAGTATCAGGATGCCTCGGAAAGTATAGACGAGCATGAACCCGATGATTTACAGCAGATCATCATGGCATTGAAGCTGTTGACGGAGCGAGTCAAGGGCAGGTCGGAACTCACAAGCGACAGAGAACCCGTGAAGAGGGCCGCTTACTTGACACACGCGTTGTCGCTCGTTGGGGGGTTCACTCAAGACGCGGCGAGAGACGTAACTTTCGAGGATTGGTTCAGAAGAAACGACTTGGTGCTTAAAACCCACTGCGACTCGGATTATGACAGGACTACAAAGCGTACTACGATCGGCACCTTTGATCGAATCTTTGTCGGGGGGGAAGTGGTGTTGGAGACCTGCATTTCTCTCTCCCACGTTGGGAGAGCATACGTGTGATGTAAATAAAAGCAGCCAGAGTTTCTTGGGATTGCTCGGTGTTCCCTGTGTTACATGGCGCAATCGACGATTAAGAACTAGTGCTAGAAAAACGTCGGGAAATATTCTGTGAAATCCAGTGGAGACTCTCAAAAGAAGATGATGGACGACGACCGACGAACCTCCAGGCGGCCAGGACCGTTTCGCGTGGTGCAAGGAGCCGACAATAGCGAGGCATGGAAAGATTTCAAAGAAGCCTTCGACGACTACGCTTTCGTCGAGGAACTCTTCAGAGAATGTCCAAAAAAGCAGATAGCGATCTTCAGAGCATGCTTTGGTGATCACAATCGGCAACTCTTGCGGAGCTTGAACCTGGGAGAAATTCAAGCAAACGACAGCAGTGTCGCCGCCGACACCCCGTGCGAAACACTGAGCAGAATGATCAGCAAGCTAGATGAAATGTTCGCACCGCACGAGAACATATATTTTCGCCGACACCAATTCACGAAACTCAAGCAAGGTGAAGGCGAATCCGTTGCCGATTTCGTGAGTCGAGTCATGAAAGCGGTCAAATTATGCAAATTCGCTTCTGATCCGGAAATTATCACCAACCAGCTAATCAGCGGCACCAGCCTCGAAGCTGCCCGAAGAATCATATTCGAAGCGGATGTCAACAAAGAATGGACTATCGAGAAAGTTGTCGCAACGATGAAACAGACAGAGGCCAACAAAGAGCACTTACCAACATTCCGGAGCGCGGAATCAGGAAGTGGAGACCAGATTCAACAGTTATTAAGCAGAAGCTTCGAAAACAAATCGAGATATCCGCATCGAAAGCAACCCCCTGAGCATCGGAGGCGTGAAGCTCCGCAACCGGCGTCCATCAGACGGACTTGCGCTTTCTGCGGCAGTCAACACCCTCCGCGGAAGTGCCCGGCGTACGGACACCGATGTCAAAAATGCAAAAAAGCGAACCACTTCGAATTGGTCTGCAGATCGGGCAGATCCCCACAGCAGCTACATCTCCTCGAAGAAGAAACGGACCTCGGAAATAACTTCGAATATCCCATCGAAATCGAAGACTACAACACAGATCACGACATTTTCGCCATCAAGAACAAAAACGCGAAAGGAAACAAATTTTTCGCGTCGTTAAAATTGTCAAATGGCACTCAACTCCGAGTTCAAGTCGACTCTGGAGCGACGATCTCTGCGATGAGTTTCGAGAACTACGAAAAAATCCTAGAATCGAACGGAGTTGAGGCAACTCTAGACAAAAGGCAAGCAACATCTCTGAAAGTGTACAACAATATGTACGAAGCATCAATGGGAAAATTCATTTTAAGCTGCGAGTTCGATGGGCGTAAATATCGAGTTCCATTCCATGTGATTGAAAACAAGGTCGACACAGTGCTCTCCGGAGTTTCGGCAGTCAAGATGAATATCATCAAATTTCATCGAGGCGTCCAGTCTGCATTCAAGATCGACACGGTGAAATCAGCGAAAGAAAGACTGCTGGAAGAATACGGAGACGTATTTGAAGGACTCGGACGCATAGAACCACCGGTCAGAATTGAAATCGATCCCACGGCAAGACCAGTTCAAGCCGCCCCGAGAAGACCGGCGGTGGCTACAAGAGAAGCTTTTGTGAAGCGCATCAAGCTCATGGAAAGAGACGGCATCATTAAAAAAGTTGATCATACCACGGACTGGATCTCAAACGCTGTAGTTGTGTCTAAGTCAGACGGCAGCGTGAGAGTGACATTAGATCCGGCGGAACTCAACAAGGCCATCAGGCGGCCGCGATACTCGATGCCAACCTTAGAAGATCATCTCCCAATGCTGTCCCGTGCCAAATGGTTCACAATATGCGATGCCAAAGACGGATTCTTTCAACTCCCACTTCACGAAGAATGCACCGACCTGACGACCTTCTGGACCCCTATCGGTCGGTACAAATACCTTCGCATGCCGCAAGGAATTTCCTCGGCGCCGGAGGAATATCAGCAAAGACAGGTAGCGGCGTATGATGGCCTCAAAGGCTGTCTGGTCGTTGCAGATGACACCTTGGTTTATGGTGTCGGAGAAACGGACCAGGAGGCAAAAGAGGATCATGATCGAAATCTCAGAAGCCTGTTCCAAAGAGCTAGAGCGGTGGGACTGAGATTCAACCCACGCAAACTCCAATTCTGTCTTCGGGAAGTGCGATACATGGGACATTTAATCTCAAACAATGGAGTCAGATCTGATCCGGCGAAGGTGAAAGCAATTCTGGAGATGGAGCGGCCGCAAGATAAAAAAGCAGTGGAACGGTTTCTGGGGATGGTTAACTACCATCTTCCATTCATACCTCAACTATCTGAACTCACCGCTCCGTTAAGAGACATCGTCAAGAAAGATAACCAGTTCACCTGGATGTCAAATCAAGAAGACGCGTTCATAAAAATCAAAAAGCGACTCGCTGAATCACCGACGTTAGCGTACTTCGACGTGAACAAACCGGTCGTAATCCAAACGGATAGCTCAGATCTAGGAGTTGGAGCCGTCATGCTCCAGGACAACAAGCCGATAAACTACTTCTCGCATGCGTTGTCGGAGGCAGAAAAAGGATACGTGGCCATGGAAAAAGAAACCCTGGCCATCGTCGCCTGCTGTCTCCGCTGGGACCACTTACTATACGGAAAAAAAGACATCACGATCGAAACAGATCACAAGCCTTTAGTTCGGATATTCGAGAAACCACTAAAAAAATGTCCAAAACGTCTACAGCGCATGCGCTTGGCGCTCCAGAGGTACAATCTCAAGCTCCGATACATTCCGGGATCCACAAACATTATCGCAGATACGTTGAGCCGTTCGCCCCTACAGGACGCATCGGGCACAACACCCAAAGAATCAATGTACCGATTAGAACTGAGTACGATCAAAGTTCACGACGGAACGGAAATTTCCGACCCAGTCCTGGAAGAAATTCGACGGCATACGAAAGAAGACAGCGAATGCATGCAGCTCATACAAAGGATTCAAAACAACGAGCCCATCGATGGGGTTCTTGGTTCGTTCAAAGATGATCTTCGTGTCGACCACAGCATCATATTCATCGGACAAGCTTGTTTCATTCCGAAGAGCCTGCGGAGAGATATGCTTCAGAGATGCCACAAATCACATTTGGGCTTCGAGGCAACCTTTCGGCGAGCTCAGAATGTGATAGCGTGGCCAGGACTAAAGAACGACATCAAGACAATGGTCGAAGCCTGCCACTCGTGTCAAACTTTCCTCACCAGGCAACCAAGAGAAAAACTCATCAGCGGGGAGATCCCCCAACATCCTTGGGACGTCATACACCAAGATCTGTTCGAATGGCAAGGCCAACAATACGTGGTCACGGTGGATGGATACAGTGATTATTTCCACCTTTCAAAACTAGGTCGGACGGCGACAACCAATCAGGTGCTCGAAGTCACCAAAGGGCTCGTCGCCGCGTATGGACGTCCGAGGAGACTGAGAACGGACAGCGATCCCAGGTATCTATCAAGCGCATTCCAAGATTTCCTAAAACAATGGAAAATACAACATGAATGCAGTTCGCCGCACTTCCACTCAAGCAACGGCAAAGCAGAATCAGCAGTCAAAATAGCGAAGCGAATGGTCAAGAAAACCGCACTGGAAGGATCTGATCTCGAGCTAGCATTGTTAGAATGGCGTAACACCCCCCAGAGAGACGGTCTATCTCCGGCACAAAAGTTTCTGTGTCGAAGAACACGATCGTTATTGCCCACGGAACCAGCGGCGCTGTTGCCACGAGTACCGAAAAACGTCAAAGAACACATAGAGCAACGCAGGAAAGAACAAAAAACCCATCACGACAAAGGGGCGATCGATTTACCTCCGCTTCACGTGGGCGACAGAGTGAGAATTCAACCGCTCAGTTTTGAGAAAAAATGGGAGGCGGGAGAGATCTCCAAGGTTCTAGACAACAGAGCTTACTGCGTCCGTCAGGGTAATGGCAATGTAGTAGTTAGAAATCGGCGTCATCTCAGGAAAGTTCCGGAACAAGACACCGACACCCATCAGACGCCAGCTCAGCAAATCCGAACAAGCCCGTTAACCTTCTGTGTGCCTTTCCCGAGACTTCGTAGACGCAAAACGCTCTATCGGAACACAAACGCCTCAATAGAGACAGAAACTCTCAACACCCCGTTGGAAAACACCTCCATGGCCCGACCAGAAGAAGGTAATCCAGGAACGGTCGGCAGCTCCAGCGGACCAATTGGCGAAAATGACGCTTGCGAAGATATGGCTATGAGTGGCATCGAAATCATGGATCTCAGCGACGACGAACAAGAGCCATTGTTAACAGTCGGCCGGAAGAGGGCACGGGAAACCCCGCGGGAAACACCCATGTCATCGAAGAAAATCAAAAATCGGGCAAGCGAAAATCCCCCAAGCGAGGATCCCCCGACAACCACAAGAAGCGGCAGAGTAATCGTGGCTCCTAGTAGATTCACGTTATAATACTAAGGAATGATAGACAGCTGATCGAGAATGGCAGACCCGAATCGCATCCGACGTTGGGTCCGATGAAGTTATAATTTTGTGCAACAATTCTAAGATTTCATTAATAAGCGAAGGAAAAGGGAGATGTTGGAGACCTGCATTTCTCTCTCCCACGTTGGGAGAGCATACGTGTGATGTAAATAAAAGCAGCCAGAGTTTCTTGGGATTGCTCGGTGTTCCCTGTGTTACAAGTGGTCTCTTTGCAGTTATCCAACGGTAGTCGAGTACCAGCCAGGGTGGTGGAGTTCAAGGGCCGCACCATGCTCAAACTGGACGTGCAGGGACGGCAGGTCATTCGTCATCGCAATCAAGTTTGGAAGCGTGCCGTTCCTGATGAAATATATTGAGTCTTCAGTCTAGTATGCGCCCAGAAATCCCTGTGGCTAGAATTAGTGAATTCACCAGAGCGGAACGTCCCTGGGTATTTTCTCAACCCTTCCGCACGCTTCATTGTCAGTGTTCTTCTGTAACCCTCAGTGTCTGAACAATTAGCTAACCCTGAGCAGTTGTTACAATGTAACCCTTTTCACTGGACCACTATATAAGGATGG